GCAGAGGAGGGATGCGGCCCGCCCGGGCTGGCAGGCCGTCAGCTCGAAGCCTGAGCCAGTCGGTTGCCCGGATGAACAAGGCCATCTCACAGCAGCTGTGCTAGTGTCCCAGGGTCACCCTAACAGAGCAGCACAAACACACCAAGCGCTCAGAGCAGGACCTGGCACACAGTGAGTCAGCATAACGGCTCGCCTGGTCCTAACAGCTGCCTGGAGGAGGTCAAGTCAGCATTGCCCAGCCCGCATTGTCCTTCGGGGACCAAGAACAAGGCTACGCTTTCAGCTGCCGACCTCTTCCCAGAGGTCTGAGCCCCCAAAATACGGAGTATCTTCTTTCAGCTGCCAAGACAAGCTAAACTCCTCTAAATTCTCCCAAGCCATGCCTCTCATCTCCTCAGATCCTAACAGTCAAGAGCCCTCATTTCTTCAATTATGTCAGAAGGGAAAGGTTATGTCAGGATGGAAAGGGTAAGTTGGAAGGATTAAAAGTGTTTCTGTCATTTTCTAGGTCTACTGTGCTTCACTGGGTACACTGCCAAACAGAAATTTAACTGAAAATTGTTTCAGGGGAAAAATGCAATTATAAGATAAAATCAAGAGGCCCCATCACAAGCCCCGCCGGGGGTTGTCTGACAGGTTCTCCGTTGAGTCTAATCACCTGTTTTCTTGTATGTGTGCATGTAAATAAAGATACATGTGCTGCTGTGCAGCTCCCAGAAGCAGAGACCTGTCCGGGGAGTCGGTGCAAACCAGCTGGACAGGGAGCCGCAGGGGGGCGAGAGGGTTAGAGAAGCGAGCAAAGGTCAGGAATCCTGCATCCCAAAGGCCTTGGGCCAGAGGGAAAGGTCCCGGTGAGTGACCTTTGCAGAGCAGCTGCCATTTACAAAGCACTTTTGCACAGAGGCTGACATGGGGGTGAGGGCCTGAGAGCGATGGTCACTTGCCTCGCTCACAATGAGGAAGAGAGATGGAACAGGGCACCGTCCCAACCCACAAGCAGGACCTTGAAGGACCTGTCCCCTTCCCACCCCGAGTCCTCCCTTCAAAGAAGGGGATGCTGGGGGCAGGTCCTGCAGGTCCCTGGGACACAACCCCCTCTCCTCATCAAGCTCAGGTTCCCTCCCAGCGTGTGGGAGCCCTGATGACAGGGTCTGGCCTGTGGTCCTGCGGGGAGAGCGGATGTTTGACTTCAGCAACCCCTGGGGCAACAGGAGGGGCCCAGAGCCCCACCTCACAGCCTCACCCTCGGTGTCACTGTTGGGACTTTACAGATGTTTTTTTCTCAGTAGAAGGAAAAAATGCGACCTCATTTTCCTGTTATTTTTTAAACCCAAGCACAAGGTTTTTCAAATACCAACAATTCAGACTACCTCAGGGCGCCAGCCTCACGGGGAAGGGACCCCCCTGCCCCTCGGTGCGTTGCAGGCCTTTGAGCCCTGCCGAAGGGAGGAACCCACAGGCACAGGAGGTTCGCAGGGCAAGAGAATCTGTTTGTGAGGCGAGAGCGCCCCCTGTCTTCTCTCGGAGAGACTCCAAGCAGCCAGCACTTGCCAGAAGGGCCTGCAAAGGAAAGCAGGACAGGGAGGGAGAAAGCCCTCAGCTCCCCCCACGGCCCTCAGGGCGCAGAGATCTCCAGAGCAGTCAGCGGCAGGGAAGGATGGTGGCTTGGTGCACCTGCCAGGGGAACAGACTCATCAGTAGATACACCCATCCAGGAACTTGACATGAAATAGAATGAAATGAAATCAAGCAACAAAATGAACCAAAGCAAAACAAGGGAGCAAAATGTTGGCAATTGTCAGGCTTCCTTGTGGCTCCAGCTTCTCTTCCTCCTATGCTTATTAACTAGTAGGAAGTCTGTCAAAAAAAAAAAAAAAAAAAAAAAAGGCAGCAAACAAAACCCTCCAGTGTGGGGGACACTCAAATGGGCTTCATTTCCGCTAAAAGAACACTTTTAGAAATTTTTTAGTCCATATCTAGATTCCAATATTCCTAAAACATGAACCTGGAGTCTTGACTACATTTCCTGCCGCTTTTCTCCATGTAGTTTATTTCTTTTAATTCACTGAAGCTTTGTGGTTTATTTGCTTCGGGCTTTATCTGGCGTGGGGTAACAGCAGCAAGGGAAACAGGGTGCCTCCCACAGACCTGCGGCCAGCGACCTCTGGGTGCCCAGCAGGGCGCTGAGCTGGTGAGCCACCCATCCACACGTGCACACATGCACACACACCTCAGAAAACTCAGTCCATTCAATAAAGCAGACAAGTATGAAAAGTAACAACACAGAAGAAATATTACTTTACCATGATACATTGTTGAAAAAAAGTAGATTTAGCCACTGAAGATTCTGTGCCCAACACCAAAAGAGAAAAACCACCACCTAGACCCCTCCAGATGACTCTAAGGGAGGAGGGACCCCACAGACATGGACTTTGAAAGGACAGGCAAAAGAGGGGCTACCCTCTATCCCTGCCAACGGTCACCCCAGAGGGGACACGGGTCACACGGGTGGAGACCAGGGGTGTCAGGACCTCCCATATTTAGGCAGACACCCTCCCCTGCACCAGACCTACCCCTGGGCTTCCCAAACTTCACAATGAGCTGGAAATTCAGGGCATGGAGAGAGGAGGAGACTAGCCAAAAGCCTGTCCCAGCTACCGTTTGTTCTGCGCCCAGGACAGGGTGCAGCAACGTTTGGACCTCACCACACATCACCGCCAGCCAGCGAGAGGCTTCTCATCACAGGGCCAGGCACTGTGGACCCCACCCATCAGAGTGTCTCTTGAAAAGCAGCAGAGGATGCTGGTCCGGCTGGAGACTTTGCAGGAAGGAGGCCGGCTCTGCCCCATCTCTAGTGTCTCTCATCTGAGGCAACCCGCCCCCGTCCCTCTCATCAGCATTTGGTGGTTATTTCATGAACTAAAACAGAATAGGCACCACATGTAAGAGTAGCAGTTAGACGCACATGAAGGCAAAGTAGAACGTGCCGCTTTTGGTGAGTTATCAGAGAAATATGAAACATGGTGCTTCAAAGCCATGGCTCAGACCTGGCCATCCAGGAACTTAAGTTCCCAGGTGCAGGTCTGTCCACACGAGTGAATTCACAGTTCTGGAGGTGGGGCCCCAGCAGCCATACCTCCTTGGAGACACGTGCACAGGTGTTAAAATTACTTTGTGAAGAACCATAGCACAGTGTGGACTCCCAATGGCCACCCGCAGAAAGGAATCAGCACAAGTGGTGTGATGGTGAGGGGCTGTCCTGGGGCCGTGAGGTCCAAGGGTCATTAGTCCCGAGGCCACAGGAGGGATGCTCCCTGGGAGGGAGGGCCTGGAGAGGCCCGTGTGTAGGAGCTGCTGTCCGGAGCATGTGGTCAGGTGGGCCCAGGAACCCCAGCATGGCCACCCAGCGACGCAGGCACTGACCGGAAGCACCTATAACCCTTGGTCACATGGCTCGTGTCTGTCTAATCCAGCTCCAGTGTGGCCTTTTATTTTGTATACCTCCAGGGTTTTTTTTGTTTGTTTCACTTCTCAATTCACTTTATTGTATTTTACATGACTGCTGGTGCATGACCAACGGGATATTAAAAAATAAACAAGTCCTTAGGTGCAGACCCCCTGAGAGGCAAGCATTCAGAGGCCAGGGGAAACCAAGGCTTTCTCCTCAGAAGGCACATGTGGCCCACCTGCAGGAGGAACAGCTGGTCCCCACGACCCGGCTGCAGCTGTCCAGGGGTTGAAGACGTCCGGGGGTCTGCACCATCCCCCACTCTGGCCAGTGCTACCCTGAGGTGAGGACGGAAGGCTGGCTGGGTGGCAGCATGGTGTCTTGGAGAGAGGCGAGGATGGGCGGCTGGGACCAGCCCAGGGCCATGTGGAGGAAGGACGCTCTGGCCTCATTCATGAGGTGGAGGTCGAAGATTTAGGGCTGACGGAGGCAGCAGCGTGGAGGCACTTCCTTTCTAACAGGGGACAAGGCCAAAGGCCAAGACGGAGTGAGGGGAACGGGGTGGGGGAGTTGGAACCAAGCGGCAGTTAAAAGCTGTCACTGGAAAAGAGCGAGGAGCGCCTGAGTGCAGAGGGCACGGGTTGATGTGTCCCATTTCCACGGCAACACTTAATGAATAACCTTGACCCAGTTACTTAACCTCCCTGTGCCTCCATTTACTCACCTGGCAGTGGGGACCATACCTGGGCCATGGGGCCGGGCACCTACTAAGCACTTATCAACATCAGCCTCATTTCAGTGGTGCCACCTCCAGCGTCTTGGCTGAAGCCCCCAGTATTCCGTACCTGGCCCACAGGGCTGAGGGGACTGGCAGGGGCGAGAACCCAGAGTCAGGGCCTTGCCAGGGGAATCACGTGAGATAGGACGCGTGAGGCATTTTACCATGAGTGGCTGCATGTGAAGCAGGGGCCATGTGGCTGGATGAGGAGGCAGCAGGGGACAAGGAAGACAGGAAAGGAGGTCCAACCACCCTGAGTGGGGAAAGTGAGAAAGCAGCTAAAATGACCAGATGCTGAGGTTAGCGCGTGTTTAAAACAATCACAACACACTCCTCAGGACCCATCTCGATGAGGGCCAGCTTCTTATAAACGCCAACCACGAAAACCCAGTCCAACAGGAAATCGCCCCATTTCCTGAGCCAAGTAGTAGCATCATAACCGTTTAAACCCGTCAGCACAGGTCACCCTTTGCGTCCAGCCTCTGTGCCTTCTCAGGAGCACTGAGATGTCCGGCACCTTCATGGGAATGCAGTGCTGTAGCGGGGCGGGGGGGCCTCACTGGTCTCCAGCAGCACCTGCTCAGAGAACCCTCGGAAACCTTTTGAGGAAGGACTGGCTGAACATATGGTTGTACCCACAACACCCGCCCTCACAATGCTGTTGATTGTTCTGAAACACACACTCTAAGGGGCCATTTGACCTGAGACATGTTCTGTCACTCAGTCACTGGTTTGTAAGAATTTTTATGAATTTCCTTTTAAGGTCTACACAGAAGTTACATTTCAAGATACATTATCATCATTTGACAGCTTAAAATGTGTCTTTTTAAAGCGGTATCAATATAAATGTTGACCTAATAGCGATATAGAAACATGTTTCATTGGGAAGTGTAAGTACCTACTATCCTAGTATCAGTTTGTCAAAAATCGCAGACATAGTATCATTTAAGTGGTTTTACTGAATCCTCATCAGCAGAGCAAGAGAGCCAAGACTATGTTTCAATTCCTATTCTCTCATACATAACCCTAAACTTCAAGCAGGTTCTCAATTTACTGAAGCAAGGCATGAAATAATTTTTCATTGCCCTAATTTAGAAAATTTGAGAATGTTAAACTACAGAAGCCACCCTTCCCCTTGAAAGGAAAGCTCACACTCAAACACTACCTGGTTTCCAAAGTTTATTAAAAATCAAAGAATAGAAAAACTTTACATAAAAATATGTCAATTTTAGCTTCCACATTGTTGTCCACACACAAAAAAAATCGAAACATGATCTCTTTTTGTTAAATCTGTAGCGCGTGACCACAGTGGTAGCCAGGCCAATTCATTCGGTTCACCATGACGAGGGTGGAGCGTGGCGCCTGTGATTCGAGCTTTAAAATGGGCACCCACGGGACACTCGCCGCTGTCCCCGCAGTGGTGTCCTTAATGTAGTGTAACAGTCAATATTGCTAATGCGTAGAGATTAGTACAGGCCTACATATCAGTTTTTATAAATATTTCTTTATCAATAGGTTCACAATTTAAATATCTTTAAATATTTTTGATAGCTTTCGGTCATTAAGAACTGCAGACAAAATGTGCTACTCTATTCTGGAATGCCTCCTAGAGAACCTGCAGTCGCAGCTGGCAGCTCTCAATGATAATGTGGGCCAGTCCGCTTAAAAAAAATTATAATAAAAAATAAAAAATAAACAAACCATAGATATTTTAAAGCGTGTCCTTGCTGGGTGTCCATCACATTCAGGTGCCCCTCTGCATCATCAATCAGGTGTCATGGTAATAAGTTCCTGGTCTCAGCATTCTCCACTAGTGGACTTCAAAGGCCGACCACCTCCCTGTAGTGTTCACTGGGGCCAATACCCCCATGTTAGAACGGGAAGTCAGACGACCTATGAGATGCAGCTAACTCCCAGGACAACTGTGGTGCTTCAAAAACTCAGGGTTAGGCTGGATGGATATATTTTTGTTTGAAAAAAGGTAATAAAGACAGTGGTTGTCATGGCAGAATACACTTGCATAGTATACCTATATGCTTCTCAAGTTGGGCGCCAGCCGTTCCCTGGCCCCAACACTGGGCTGTGCTCTCCTGCAATACATTAGGAATATTCCCCACGGCGCACTGAGCACCTCAAGTACTTCTCATATATTTGCTCTTAACAGAACGAATGCATACTGCTACACAGATTCCTCAATGGAATCAACATAATTCCTTTCTCCACATTCCTAAAACTGGGCACCATTGTCCGTAATGATATTCACCAGACCCATCATTACAGGCTATGTTACTAAAACTGACTGAAGCATGTAGAAGTTCACATTTTTTTAAAGATTTTGTAATGTGACAACCTCTCCTCCCCTTAGAAAGTTATACTTCTGGCACTTTAAATGCTGGATTTGTTGTCTAGTTTAAAAGAACCAAAAATCAAAACATTAAAACTCCATGGTCAGAGCGAGGCAACAGACAGGCCATACGGCAAAAGCCGGCAGGCAGCTGGTCAGAAGAGTTGGGGGCCAAACCCCTTCAGAGAACTGTTGGGGGGCAACCTGGCTCCTTCATCACGAACTGAGAGGCCTCCCATCTGACCCAAAGAATAAACATAAAAATAAACTCAAGCCCCTCGCTCATGGTGTTTGCAACGGTGCTCATCAGACAACCGGCCGACTTGATGAACCCAACTTAGAAAATGCAACTTGGGAAAGGATCTAAGGTTGTTTAAAAAAATTCCCTCCTCCCTTAAATATAACTTACGTGAAAATATGAAATTAAATAAAAAATATCTGAGTTATTGCACAAATCATAAGTTTTCAATATTTACATAGAAAAAACAGTTCTGAAATTTGAAACAAAACATGAGGGCAGTAAAACAATGGCGACCTCCCATCCTGTCCACCAAGGAAGAACCGAGTAAGGGGTTGATCTCTGGCTCTGACAAACATAAAATGGAAACACCCAACCTCAAAGGAACAGACACGGCTACTGAGAAACAAACGCCAAAGCCGACTTCACCCCCTGCAGCTCCAGGTCCAGACCTGCTCCTGGAAGGATCCTGGGAAGGCAGAAAACAGCGTCCACGTTGAATAAGGCTTCACAGATGAGCACAAGGAGCTGTTCTTTAAGATGGACGTGACCACCACACAAGGAACATGCAGAGTGATCAGCGGCGGGCGTTCGAGGGGCCCGGCTGATGTGCTAGATGCTGGTCTCAGTTCCCGCCGGGTGCCGAGGCCACCCGGGTCAGTCCTGGAAAGGGGGAGGCAGGAGGCGCCGCCAGGAGCTATTATCTGCTGAGACTGACGGGCAGGCTGTCCCTCGTGTGAGTGTGTTTTTTCCTCCTCCAGCCGGTACGGTTATACTGGTGGTGTCCCCGGTTGCCCACGGGGGGCCGCACACCTCCACTGCCCACGGAGCTGTAGCTGCCACCTTGGCTGTGGTTGTGAGAGCCTTTCATGGCCAGCTTCATGCCACTGTGCTGCTGAAGACAGAGAGAGAGACAGCAATGATGGAGGGGGCTTGGGGGCAGTGGACAGCACTGCCATGGGAGACTGCCCACCCCAGCTCCAGCGAGCTCAGTCCCGGGGCAGTGAGCCTAAGTGACCGTGACCTGCGACCACCCCCTCCTGGAGAAAAGGCAGGAACTGGGGACAGTGAGAATGTCAAATGCTGTACACACGACTGAAACGCATCTTATCACGGCTGCATGTGTTAAGTGTGCACGTGACATTAAAGGCTCTATCTGACAGAAATCCAAATCTTAGATTTTATAATAACTACTATATTTGAGACAAAAAATACTATTCCCACTCAGTGACCCATTCAAGAACCGTGGGACTGTATCAAACTTCACACATTCATCTCCAAATATATCTAGAATCTCACTTCTACCTGGTTCTATCGACCCACAGAAACAAGAAAGTCTCTCTCATCTTCTTGCCCCTAGCTCAGCCATAACATTCTGGAAACACACGTGTGACTCCCACATCTCAGTGCGGTGCCATCTTCACATGCAGTAGCATGTGGTCAGGTTGCTCCTACACTGCAAAGCCCCATGCAAAGCAGACCAGGAGAAAACAGCCAGTTTCAGGAAGATTTCAGAACAAAACAAGCAACAGAAGGGAGTTGAGAAGGAAAACCAAAATGCAATTAACGAAGGCTGCTTTTCCTTTTTGTAAAGTTACAGCTTCACGCTATTTCTAATAGGTCAGCATGACAAGCCTGGTAATGCAATAAAATTTGCTAGTAAATTATGGCTAGATAAGCAACAAAGGAACTCACTGAAGTGATGGGGACAGACAGTGTAAGCATAGCAAAGAGACCCCATCAGGGCCCAGGGGAACACTGGTCTCAGACACTGAACCTTGTTCCTAGTAGAAGATGCCAGTCACAGCTCCTTTAAACACCCGCGTGCTTCAAGGGCACAGGAACTTCCTAACGGCCTATATTCTTACTATGCAACAATTTCTACCGTGTATGATCTGGATTTAGATTAGCCACAGGAAAATGGAAAAACCCATTTGCAGGGACCCCTAGGACCCAGAAAGCAAATGAACTTTGGGCCCTGCAAGCCCGCCTCGCCCTCTGCCAGGGCGCCTGGGCAGAGCTGGGGAGGGACTGACACTGTGGGAATGAAAACACCGCAGCGGCCGCATCGGAGCTTTTCTTGATTCTACTGTTTGCTTCTTGAAAATGAAAGTGTTTAGCACATGAATTAATAGATAAATGGAAAAACAAAATCATCTTCACTTCTAATCTTATTTCAAACTTCAGTTTTATGTTAACAAGTTCAATAGAGAAATTAAGGGAAATATATAATGAGAGGAATGAAACTATATTAAATTTTAAAATAATTTCTTAACCACTTCTAAAGTGTTGTTACAAGGGAAAGCATGAAACTGAATGATCAGAAAACAAACTCCTTTTAAAAAGTCTGTGGAAGGCGCTTTGGGGAAGGAAGCACTCCCTGCATGCAGCTGCTTCGGGAGGTGCCAGGGCCTGAGTGGGGAGGGGGGGGGACCTACCTTATGATAGAGGTGCGGGCTGGAGAGTGGGTTGGGAGACGCGGACGGAATGGCCGGGGAGGACATGTGGTGCACAGCCTTCAGTGCTGGAGTTCCTTCAACACCAACTTGTCTGCAAGGAACAGGGGCCACGCCCAGGGTCGGCGGAGGTATAGTAAACCTGGTCTAGGAAGAGAACCACCAGAGACATCCATAAGGTACAGATCCAACACAGGGCGACCATCCCAGTTCCACAGCCGAGCACCAAGAAGGTGCTGCCACCTTCTTGAAGAAGGCTGCCATTTGCAAAAATGCTCATGAACCCGGTTTGTGTTTGACTACAGCCTCATAAGATTTTGTTCTGAATCAGAAACATTTTATGTTCTGAAAAAGCAATCACAATAGGGAACCCAAGTCAGAAAGTCTCGATACTCATTAAGACCAAACAAGAATATAAAAAAACAAAAAACAAACAAAAAAACCCTGAAGTCATCAGAGTAACTGTCCCTCAAATATCTCGAGAGAGCCCACAGCAGTGACAGTCTGCGGGTGGGCGCCGAGGCAAGGCGGTCCCTGTCCTTCCTCCACAGTCTGTGTGCATACGGGGCCGTTACAGCCCAGGACACTGGGTGAGCCTCTCTCCTCAGACCTTCAAAAACCGCACTCCTCACATCCAGCAGTCCTTTGCCCCACAGACCTCTGGAAAGCAGTGGTGGCCCTCCTTGTCATCATCTATGTCATTTTACACTCAAAGTATAGCCGCGTTGTAGAGACTGTCTTTGCTTTTAAAGCAAATTAATGTGATGGGTTTTACACATATATACAAGGTCTGTCTGGAAAAAGTCCAAACACTGTTAATGTAACAAGAATATTTTACACAACATCGGTGTAACCTGGCAGCCAAGGAAAGTGGACTAGAATGTGCATGCATGAACAATGAGGACTTCAATGTCCTCATCTGTGGGGGCGGTAGATGGTCACACAGTACGTATGCTCACTGAATGGCATCGCATGCAAAATGACTGAGTGATTAAGCAATATATCTGCATCAAATTTTGCATTAAGCTTGAACATTCCTGTGGAAACTATTCAGATGATTCAGAAGGCTGCAGCTATGGGCCACTGCTGATTGGCAGTTTTATCATGACAACACACCCACAGATGCATAAAGTCTCCTGCAGAGTTTTTTGTTGAAACATCAAATCACCCAGGTAACTCAGCCCCTCTACAGCTCACCCTGCAACTTTGGCACCCTGCGACTTCTGGCTTTTCCCAAAACTAAAATCGCCTCTGAAAAGGCAAAGATTTCAGGCCATTGTTGAGATTCAGGAAAATATAATGGGGTAGCTGATGGCAAATGGGAGAACTGTGTGAGGTCCTGAGGTGTCACTGTTCTATGTACAATGTTTCCTGTATCTTGTATCTTCTTCAATAAATGTCTATTTTTCATAGTACATGGATGGATACTTTCTGGACAGACCTTGTATATTTAATTGATGTATAATTGAGAAGTAGGTACAAAATTTAATATTTCTGAAATTGTCTTTTAGACGTCTAATTTTTTCTAAATTTTAAAAAAAGACATATTCAATATAAAAAGCCCTATAAATACTGCCTATGTGAAAAAGTGAGAAAGTCAAAGTTTATATTAAACTTCAAAAGCATGTAAACACTGTGATTCTGAGTGTAAACAGGGACACATGTCCATTTCTGCCCAGGGACAGCATCACAGTCTCTTTCTTCAACACAACCCCAGGATTGTGGTCTTGCACAGTGTATCTATGTAATTTGTAGAACAACAGTCAATTTGGATCTTGTTGAAAGCCATTTCAGTGTTTAAGACCCAAGTCCTCTCTCTGCAAACGCTGAGCATGGTGGACCCTGATAACACTATCTTTTAAAGAATGACAGGACATGCTATCAGATCCACAAAAGATGAGAATTTCCTACAAGACACAAATGTATTTTCCAAAGACTTTTAAAGTTCTTTTCCTAAATCAAAGATGCCAGCCACTGCTTCTCGGTTCCCAAGGGCCCATCACAGGATGGGCACCAGCAGCCACGTACCTGAGTGTTAGTTGTCATGACCAATGTTCTGGAAGTAGTAGACTGAGGTTTGCCACTTGGGATGGGCAAGGCGGTGGGCAAGCTGGCCAGCAGAGGGGTGGGCGCTTGCAGACTGAACTGGTAAACGCTGGGTGTCGTGCAGGGTGGCGTGTCGGAATCCTGCAAGCAGGAAGAACAGGGAGTGCTGTACGAGGAGGTGCACGGCTTCTTAAAGACAGAAAAGAAAGGCCTGCAGCACATTCACAATGCAAGGCCACTGGAATTTGTCCATTACTGCTGCTCAACAGGCAGCCCAAAGCTGCTCACATTTCCTTCATTTCAAACTGAAGAAAAATGTGAAGGAAATACAGTAGGGACACCTAGACTTTAATGTTTTATTTCCAAGTAAGATTTTTAAAAACTATTCAAGGAAGTCCACTGTAATTCTACTGTCAGTGGCATTAGTGTTCATAACAGGCCACTTGGGCCACTGAGACTGGGGCTCATGGCAGAGTGGGGACCATTCACATACACATAAGGAGAGTGATGAAAAATCCCTGCTACAGACGTTCTCCACAAACACAGCCCACCCAGCAGACACACTCACAATGTCACTTCCAGAGAGCGAAGACACGGAAGACGCGGAGGAGCCCGAGGAGAGTAGCTGGGGGCTAGGCAGAGACAAGGTCAGGCGCTGGCTGTAGGGCGGCTCCGGGTCTCGGCCCTGGGGCTGCTCCCCATCGCATGTGCTTATCCGTTCTTTTATTTTAATTCTATTGTCTGTGGAGAGAAAAGCATCAACCAGGTGAGTCACTTTCTAGGAGTGCAGATATGAGGGTGCGAGGAGAGAGCCATCAGCCACAGGTGTCACTGAGCCTTGAAATGATGCTAATGAGATTGGCAAATTGAATTTTGTTTAATTTTTAAAGTTATTTTCAGTTATTGGAAATGTTTAAGTGAATTTGAAACAACTTACATATGTAAATAGTTTTCAACTGCACATTACATGATATCTAATTTACAGATTGAGTATTTCTGGTGGAAATTTAACATCCTAACTACAATGTGCTACAAGTATAAATACACACTGGATTTCAGATCTCATACAAAAGGAGGCTGCAAAATACGATGTCTGTCCAGAAAATATCCAGCCATGTACTATGAAAAATAGAGGCATTTATTGAAGACACAGGGAACATTGTATATAGGACAATGACACCTCAGTCCCCTTCAAAGTAGGCACCTTGGGACTTAACACAGTTCTCCCAATCGCAATCAGCTACCCCATTGTATTTTCTTGAATCTCATCAATGGTGTGAAATCTCTTCCCTTTCAAAGGTGATTTTTAGTTTTGGGAGAAGCCAGAAGTCACAGGGCACCAAATCTGGGCTGTACGGTGGCTGGGTCACCTGGGTGACTTGATGTTTCGCCAAAAAATTCTGCACAAGATGTGATGTGTGAGAAGGCACACTGTCGTGATGAAGCTGCCAATCACCAGTTGCCCATAGCTGCAGTCTTCTGAATCATACAGTTTCCGTGGAGGAATGTTCAAGCTTCATGCAGAATTTGATGCAGGCATATTGCTCTACTCACTCGTCATTTTGAATGTGATGGCCACACAGTACACATGCTCACTGAATGGCATCTACTGCCCCTACTGACTAGTTCACTGAAGTCATCATTGTTCACACATGCGCATTCTAGTCCACTCTCCTTGGCTGCCAAGTTACATGAATGTTGGGCAAACTGTTCTCATTATATTAAGAAGTGCTGGACTTTTTCTGGACAGGCCTCATACCTCAATGACTTTTTACATTGATTACATCTTGAAATGTTAATATTTTGTACACTAAATTGAATAAATCATTCTATCAAAATTAATTTCACCTGTTTCTTTTCATATTTTTAAGGCAGTTACTAGAAACTTTAAAATTCCATGTGGCACACCTTGTATTTCTACTAGATAGTGCTCCCCTAAGTCTTACAGTTTTAAATTAAACTCTTATAGAAAAACTAGGTATTTTTCTTAGTTTGAACAACTTCCCATCAAGAGACAAAGAGATACTCTTATATGAGTGGTCAGAAGGTGAAGGATAACCCCAGGGAATTACTCTCTTACCAAGGTCGGGCGCTGGGTGGACCTTGCTGCCCCATTTCTCCTTGATCCACCTCCGGTAGTCAATCACTTCCTGAGTTACTTTGACGATTCTTCCTAAAGTACTACAAAAAGACGAGGAGGGAAATCAACATAGTACAGTGGGACTGTGAAGCCCATATACCCTCTCTAGTAGCTACTTTAAACTTTTAACACTATATTGCTTGCTAAGTGAAATACAGCAAAAAGCTAAAATAATTTTACAAAATATATATGACTTCTGATGTTCAAGTCCAAACATAATTTGAGATCACAGTATAGTAAAAGTAGATTCTTATGTAGAAGTCTTTGAACCTAAATTGATCTCCAAAAGACTGTTTAAATCAAGTCCCTACATAGGGAAGTCCACCCTCCCAACCAGCATGATCATAAAGGTCTGACATTCTCACTTCCTACTTTACATCAAGAACAGAGAGACAATGCACCTGCTGTGGGGCCCAAAGCGCTGCCTGAAGACAATGGACTGAGGCCACAAAACCCAAGACAACTCTACCTCTGCCATGCCAAGCCTCCAAATCTACTTATTCTACAACCCGCCCAAGGAACAGAGACAGCAGCACTGTTTCAACTACTACTTGTGACGATCATACTATTCTTCATCCACTCTGCTCTCACCTCCCTCTCTCCATCCCCACCTCAGCAGTATTAAGGCAGTTACTAGAAACTTTAAAATTCCATTTGGCACACACTATTTCTTCTAGATAACACTGGCCTAAAGTCAGTCTGATAGTTTTCAATTAAACTTATAGAAAAACTAGGTATTTTTCTTAGTTTGAACAATTTCCAATGAAGGAAAAGATACTCCTGCATGAGTGATCAGAAGGTGAAGGATAATGCAAGTGAATTAATCTCTCACCAAGACTGGCCACCAGGTGGACCCTGTTGCCCCATTTCTGGGATCAGAAACAGGTATTTCTCACTAGCAATGAAAGTGTTCCAGAGTGGACAATGAGTGGGCCTAGGAGAAAAGGGGTCAGACCTGCGGACTCAAATACACATTCATGTAGAGCTGACTACCCACATTTTGAAGACTGCCTTGAGAAAAAGCATCATGTTCCAAAGTTTTATAATACTTATTTTATGTTTTTATCCTCACCCGAGGATATTTTTTCATTGCTTTGAGAGAGAAAGAGAGAGGGGAAGTGGGGCAATGGAGAGAAAGAGAGAGAAACATCAATTGGTTGCCTCCCGTACACATCCCAACCCGGCATCAAACCTGCAACCTAGGTGTGTGCCCTGACCGGGAAACAACCCGCACCCTTTCAGTGTACGGGATGACACTGCAACCACCTGAGCCACACTGGTCAGGGCGCATTCCGTAACGTTTTAAAAACCAGAAATCACCTCCCTCAAACAAAATATTCTGAAAAAAGAAATGCTAACTCTCCAAATAAGAAATTTTCAACTCTTAACCTTGGAATGAATTAAATATGGCCATCCAGAATTCCTAAAATAGTCATTATAGTTACTATATGAAGTAATGTAGTAACTATACTGAATGAAGTAAAGTTCTTCCTTTACTGATATTTTCAAGTTTTGCTAAAATCTGATGGCATATCCATTAGTAAACTTCATGAAAAAAGCTAATGACAGAGGCAAGGGGTGCCAGCTTTGCAGAGGCTAATGAGGGTGCAACTACCATGCCCCTTGGAGCCCAACAAAGGTGTCGACTGACTGTTACCTTTCAGAATCTCTGTTTGGATAGGACCTCGCAAGTGGCGACACAGCATGACTGAGAACAATGTAGGCATAGTCAAAAACCTGCTTCACCTGCATGGCCCCGTAGGAGCTTCGGCCAACATCATTTCCTGAAACAGAAAGGCAGCTGTGAAACTCTACCGAACATCTGAGCCATCAGATGTTTTTGATCTTCTCACAGGAGTTATTCTGAAGTGGGCCCTCACCACTCAAACACGTCCAGACCCCAACAGCAAAGCCGAATCAGGCACCTGCAAACACACCTTAGCTAATTGTCGCACACCTCCTAGTGTTCACAGGCTGAGGCGCCTGATCTGCATCACCCGGTCAGGGTCCACCTCCATGAAGAGAGATGGCATTCACAGAGATGGAGTGACAGCGTACGAGAGAGTCAAGTAACTCCCCAGGTGGCAATAAAAAACATGAGGAAAAGCAGCAGCCTGAATCAGACTGCCACCATGCTGACTGGGGCTCACTGCAGCAGGCGGTTAACCTGGGCATACCACAGCGGGACCTGCAGAGCAAATCCTCTATGATAGAATGTTCCAGGTCTGAACTCCAGGTTTGGGTGGCAAATCAAACAAAGACGCCACTGAAGTCACCAAGCAAGCCACAGTTAAGGACCTTAAGTTTAATTTTAATTTACATGAAACTCCTTCACAAGTTAGGTATGTAGTTTGTTTTTTTAGAAGCTGTAGTCTAAGTATTGGAACATTCTTTTCCAGATGTAAGTCTATAATATAACCTAATGATAGGGCGGGTGGGGTTTTTGTTTTTCAAGTACATTTCGGCAGACACTGAAGACACTAGAAATGTCTCCAATTTAACTTATTACCACAGACAATAGATGATGAAAACCTGTCATACTATGCTGCTGGGAAAATTGCTGCCAAAAAGGCATGGTATAAATCATGTCATTTACAAACAACCACAGAAAAGAACAGTATGTGTTCTTTGGGGAAAAAAAATTAAGAAATACAGTTCAAACTCCAAAAGCCATAAAACAAAAATAATTAAATATAAGGATATTAAATATGTAGAGAAATTTAAAAAATACCAAATCCAAATGCAAATGACAAACTGAGGAGGAAAAAGAAGTACAGCATATACATCAAAAAAAGGCTTCCCTAACATACACAGGTCTCACAAAATCAGTAAGGGAACAGAATGGCAGACAAAGGGACAGAGCACATAAACTCACACAAAAAGAAATACAAAGGGGCCATGTACCTGGAGCTGACATCTCCACCACCTTTTCTGTCACCTGTCCGTCACTGACTTTATCACCAACAGTAAGAACAGTGTCTCACCTAATAGATGCTCAATAAACATTTGTGGAGTTGATAAATAACAATGTGTTTAACCTCACTATCATTAAAGAAATGTAAATTAAATAAAATTTATATTGCATGGTTTTATCAGACTGGTAAAGGCTTTAAAGACCGTCATCAAAGGCTGGAAATATGAGTACCCTTAAATACCCTAAAGGAATAAAACTGGAAAACTGGAGACCTGCCCTGGGTTCTTCAAGGTGGCAATCCTTACTACAGAACAGACCCTACACACAAAAAGCGGTCTCAGATATACTTTTAAGTAAAAAACAAGCTGCAAATCTGTATTATCTGATTCCATTTATTAATTGATAAGTTACAATAATGAACATTAATATCCATGTAGGAAGAAATGGGAGAATAAACACCAAAATGGGAGGGGATTACGGCATACTTCACTTTTCTCTGTTACATACTTCTGGGAATTAAATGGTTTATGATGCACACGTAATAGTTTTATAATTAAAAAATAAACTTTTTTTTTAATTCTCACCATCTATATTTTTCTGATTGACTAAAGAATATAAACAAAATTGCAACTTTGCAATAAGTAATTAGAAGCATTAAATAAGGAATTGTAAATTGTCACTATTAACTGTTAGGACAGTAGGAGTCTGCATCAGATCCAATCAACTGATGAACTGCCGTGGCTCGCAGGGACCGAGGATATACCACCACCACCCCCACACCAGTGCACCAGGGAAGGGATGCTCCTGCATCGCTTGGGGTGAATGCAGAGCGAGGTGCCCTTACCAGGTAGCAAGGGGTCCTCAATGCACAGCATCGATGGTCTGTACCCGCTGGTCATGGCTTTCATGATCTCTTCTTTGGCAATATAGGCACCTCCTTCTTTTATTCTAATACCAGTTTTCAAGTAATTAAAATTTCTTCCATAAAGTTCAAAAAATTCTACAAGAAGCATTCCAAGGTTTTCATCAGCTCTCCGGGCATCAATTCTTGGATGCAACTGTAAAAGCAATGGATTCAAGTTATTCCTAAAGAAGACGGCAAGCGATGAAGTCTACTACCTGGTGGTCTCTTCAGGCACTTGCTCACGCACCATCACTGGGACGGTCAGAGCAGCTGCGAGGAGGCACTAACAGGGCCTGGAGAGCCATTCTCACTGAAGAGAGTTCAAAAGAAATAAAACTTTCTACCTGAATGTTTTTATTACACTTTTTATCTCTGAAACTGGTAATCCATACAGCAACTTCCTACAAACAGACATCTAATTAATCACAAGTTCCCAACTACTGATAAGAAAGTGTGCAATCACCCAACTATTTAGTCAGGGGCACTGACCTTTCTTCCCTTAGAATGTCAAAAAAATGACAACAGCCAACACAATAGCGGTCTGGTATGAATGAATCAAAATTATATCTTTTTTTTTTTTGTCAGATAGGCCAAAAATATATTTCTTGGAGGGCTGCAGAGTTTTAGTAATTAGTTTATGTTTGCCAGGAGATAGGAAAGCTTGAAAATCATTGATCTAGATGGCAGAGGTAATTTTACAGATTCTAATCTTAATTCCATTGTTCCAAAATACAATCAGTAGGGGGCAGTATTAGATTGAACAGTATCACAGAACACCAGAATGTGAAAGGATTAATTTTAACTGAGTATAAGAATTAGTACTGTATCATAATATTTATAGCAAACTTGCATCTCTGCTTGTCATAGAGATTAGCATCAGCCTCAGTTGAGCACCACAATTTAAGTAGGCAATGGACTTCTGAACCTGAACCACTGTCTACTGATATCCTCCTAAGTCACTGATTTAAGAGAGTCAATTCTAAGCAACACAGATCTGTGCTGCCCACAAGGATAGCCATGAGCCACATGCGGCTATTTATATTTATATAAATTAAGACAAATTAATTAAAAATACTGTTTGCCAGTCTTGCTAGCCACATTACAAATGCTCAATAGGCCTCTGTGGCCCATTGGCCCATGGCTACCTTGCTGGACTGTACAGAGAATACTGCCAGCTGCATAGAGTTACACTGGGCAGCACATCAAAGTCAAAGTCCCGATAGAAGCACAATTCACAACACAGAGCTCGATGAGGAAATCCTAGAAGTATTTTCAGGGTTCAGAACTTTGACTTCTAGGGATTTGCATGTTCCAAAAGCAGAATGTAGCATTCTTGTTTTTGCCTTATCTTACTCCCTTCTTTATTCCTTGCCTTCTAGTCAAAATCAAATACCTGAGAACTACCCAAGATAAGGTTGGATCTTCTTACCTCACTTAGCCATGAAATGAACTCAGGTGCTACAACAGTCACAGCTTTTGGGCAGAAGGGGCAAGGCATGAAGAGATGTGGACATGACAACAGCAATCCCACCCCCGCTGGGCAAAGCTCCTGGGAAGACGGGAGCGCTGTGAGGAACCCATGGGGTAGTTCAACAGGAGGTGCTTAGCCCAGAGCAACAAAAGTAAACAGTTAATAGTTCATATCAGGAATACATGAGGAAGTTAAGCGAAGAGAAGGCTGTGTCTAATTCAAAATCATGTTCAAAAACTAGGGAAGACTGGCTATAAGGGCAGCATCATGGATGTGAGAGTAGAAAGCAAGGTAACAGGATTAAAATTCTAAGAAAACAAATGTAATTCCATCTTCACTGTTCCTAAAGCATCTCTGCAAAGACGGGCCAAGGAAGTCAAAGTAACTGAAAGCAGCATAACCAGGAGCTGTGCTGATTACTAGCAGTATTCTTGATAATGAGAAAATAAATGGCCAAATTCTGGACTCACTAAGCCCAATCCCAAATAAAAAATCAATAATAAACCAGAGGAAAAGTGTTGTGCAGCTAAAATATAGAGGCAAGATCTTGTAAAGAACAGAATCCTTCATTTAAAAAAAAATATAAATAAGATAATGTTTCAATTAACTTAAAGACTTTTACAAGTCTAATTTATCAGTATATCACAGCATTTAACACTTAGGTAGGTTTTCTACAGAGATTTTTTTCCATGATACTCAACAAAATAAGGGCAATATATAATTCAAGACAAAATACTGAAGTTCTGTCAATCTGAAAAAAAAAAGGCTATTTTCAATATTTTTTACCATACATGGTATTAAACGTTTCTCTTTAAAAAAAAAAAATATTGTATTTATTTTTAGAGAGAGGGGAAGGGAGGAAGACAGAGAGGGAGAGAAACATTGATGTTTGTGAGAAATACATTTATCAGTTGCCTCTCGCATGCCGCCAACTGGGGACCTGGGCCACAACCCAGGCATGTACCCTGACTGGGAAACAAACCGACAACCTTTCAGTTCAGAGACCAGCGTTCAATCCACTGAACCACACCAGACAGGGCTCAAACTTTCTTCTGAGATACATTTGTCAGTATAGTCAAAGCACCAAGAAAAATGATTTTTTTATTGTCTATTGAGGTATGAAAGTTTTATTGTCTCTCAAGATATAAAAGTTTAGATTAACAGACACTTAACTGACAACCAGATAAGCCCTCCCTCCTCTACCAGTTAAATCAGCTACAAAATAAGCTATAAAGGAACAATGAGAAAGAAGTATTAATCAAAATAGGGTTTATTATGAAAACTAGAAATCAATCTCTCCTAAATGAAAACAGAATAGTGAAGGGAGAGAAGGACTGCCGGGATCCACACAGCAACTGGTCTGAACACCAAGGAAGAATCTACTCCTACATGAGTCTCACTATAAGTGTTTTGGAGAGAAAGCACACTCACCTGTAGAAAGCTAATGGCCATTAAAATTAGGCTGTACGAGCTAATTCCACCGGTAAAAACTTCATTCAGGTCCCTCTGCAGGAGGAACTGTTTCAATACTAAAATCAAGTAAGGCAGCAATGAATATTTCTGTAAATTCCAAAAGAAAAATATTTACTGGTTAGTTCATATACCTTGGAAGACTTCTTACAGAGCAATTTTATATGGCAGAAAAGAAAGCCTCCTCCATCCTCCTGCCTCTTAGAAACCTCTAGGCTAACCATCCTCCAACTGGAGGGCCTGAGAGTGAATTATATGAGGGGCTCATTAAGATCCCATAGGGGAGCCCCTCATAACTGAGGTTATGAGGCGGGGCACCCTGCACGAAGAGAAACTCGGAGAATGAATGAGCACACCCCTTCAAATACTTCCCACGGCTTGCTGGATGCCGGGGGAGGGCTACGCACACAAGGAGGGGGATGCGGCAATGAGCGAGGGAAGGTACTGGAACCAACACAAGAACCTTCAACACTCGGAGGCACTCAGAGAAAAGAGGGGGTGGAGAGGGGACAGCTCATGAGGTAGGGGACAACAGTAGGATGAGTGGCTGGTCCTCCTGTGGGGAGAGCAGGGCGAAGATAACAAGGAAACACAGAGGCTGGAGAAGGGGTGGAGAACAACGGAAACTTCTGTTGTTTTCAAGTCTGCTGAAGTAGCAATGAGCCTTCAAACAGGACGTGATGCAGAAAAAAGGGAAACAAGAGGAGCAAGGTCCCTGAAACTGTGGGAAGAGGCAGTACCCAGACTACAGGTGCTGGGTGGCCTCTATGAAGGATGTCACCACTTCCACTGTAACAGGAGGAAGGACCATCTGTTTAGCTGGACCAGGCACCTGGTCAGAGTCCAAAATGGGTCCCCTCAATAAACAAGTCTGCTCTGCCATCCTCAGGCTCAAGACCAAGTAAGTAAATCTAAAGTGTGTCATGCTGCATTCACTGTCCAGTGGACCCTGGACTCCCTTGCAAATCAGGCACACGGCGCTGCAAGGATGGTCATCTTATAATAACCTGAAAGAACAGTTCCCAAAGCTCACAAAGAGCTCTCAACTTTATCAAATGGTGAGCCGAGGAAAGTAAATCTGAAGAACAGCTAAGTAGTTTCAAAGTTATTAGTCAATATTCCTTCCCTAGAAATCATATTGTAGGATGAGTAATTCAACTGCACAGTCTCTATTATAATAGACGGTTTAAAGTTTTTAACATTTATAGGAGAAACAATAGCCAATGTAACATCTTAAGTCGCTGATTTTTATTGTGCTAACTTGCTGATAGCAGCACCTTCATGTAATTCTTGATGAACTCCGCTGCCCGGACCCCAGTCTCCATGTTGAAGCTGATGTCGACTTTAACCTCAGTCTCCTGGTCTGTGAGTTTTATTATTGGTACCTGCAAAAATTTAATTTGAAAAATCTTGCTTCAGTACGCAGCAGTCTTCATGATCAGGCATCAAAATGTTTCCAAAGTTTTACAGAAATGCTTTTTAAAAATTATTCACAAAGTGGGCTTAGGGATTATGAACCCAAAATTTTAAAGGTAAAAAGAAAAGGGACTTTGTCAGGGTTAACCTCATTAGTGCCCTGGAACCCAAGACTACCACCCTCAGCCCCGCCAACAGTTCTGCCCAGCCTTGCTGGCATGACTCAGCACCTCGCCAGTGGCCGAGCATCAATCACAGACACCATACGCTTCTGCCAAAGGGGTGGGGGCAAAGGGGAACAGGTGTCTGAGAGAAGGAGAAAGAGGGGTGGAAGGCCCAGACTCTACATGCCTGCCTACCATGAGGAAGCCAGCTAAGTCCTGGTTTTACCACAAGTGCCTAGTGATAGGGAGGAACTCCTGGTCCCCAAAATATGCTTGCTAGAATTTCTGAAAACATTCAAACTAACTTCAAAGCCATTTTTAAATTGTAATTTGTACTGTTGTTGTTTCTCCAAACAATTTTACTTTGGGTTTCAGTCTTGAAAAGAAACTAAAAAAAAATTTTTTTCCCAAAAAATCAGAGAATAAAAGGCCATTTTGGAAATACGACTGAAATTATCACCAAAAGGCACTCAAAACGGGCCTCATCAAAGATGCCCAAGCAACCATTCAGATCACCACCCCCCCGAAATTATTTTTCCAGAAGGTATTGTTTTGTTTATTCAGCCTCTAAGGAATAAAAACGAAGTTCCCTCCACCAAAACAATCGGGCTCTAGTTAAAGGTTTAAAAGGTCTAGGAGTCAATACGGAAACACTTTTCAGTGCACAACCTGATCTAAAATGTTCACCAGGGGCCAGCTGCCAAGGATACTCAAGTGAGAGTAGACCTCTGGCAAGAGAGGAAAAGACGTGGCTGTTGAATCCACCCTGGGCTAATTACCTAACCTCTGTGTGCCTCAGTTTCCTCACCTGTAAAATGGGAAAGATAATAGTTTCTGCCAATAAGATTGGTTTGGAGGATTAACTGAGATAACACCTATAAAGTGGTTTTAAAAATGACCAAAACTAATCCATGGTGCTAAAAGGCAGGTGAGCAAATGGTACCACTACATGAGCAAGATAAAGCTCCCATTTTAACTTCTGACAATCTTCGTACAACTAAAAGAATTTAATCTGGCTTCATATAGCTTGAAACAAAATTTATAAATGAAATGTTAGCCTGTAGTACAGGTGAGCTAATAACTATCACATCACATACACTGTTCCTGTATGGTTTCTAATCTTGGACTTAGAGTACCCTTGACCAGTATACACTGCGAAATCAGTCCCATCTTCCAACTTCTCCCCAATAAGGTTTTTCGTAAATCTGTATTTTTAGAACAATGAAAGGAACAGATAAGTTTTTCTTTCTGAAGTATAACTTGGCGAACAGTAATCTTTTTCTACGTAATAATAGCCATGATTTAGTCACTCAGTTACAGACTCCAGAAAGGGCAGCAACTGAACATGTCTCATTTCAGATACTAACATCCTTTCCTTACATACCCTAACAGAAGCCAAGAGTAATGTACTCTAGTGCTGAGAACAGCTGGATGCTCTCACAACTTGCAGTTCAGACTGTCACTGAACATGGTGATCCCAACTACAGGAACACAATGCAGAAGCACATTTATACCAGAAATAGAGAAGTCTTCAGAAACGTAACCAATACCTGCTGCAGATGACCTCAGTGAATCACACAAGCATCAGGACAGGCCCACACTTACTGTAGCTTTGTCCAGGACTTTGATGGAGCCCGGCTCAGCCACGTTGTGCTTCCTCAGGGCCTGCTCCAACAGCTGGAGAGGAGGACGCTCCCATTTTCCAAAGACCACTAAGTCAATGTCACTGGACAAAAGAAAAGTGGCTGTGAACCGCTCACCTTGCTATGCATAACAGAGGCACCTGGGGTGGACTGGTGCCACAGTGCACACGATCCCATCTCCATCAAGGGCCATATGTAACCTCATTATGCATGTCCCTCTCAAGGGAGAGGAAATGCAGCTTATGAAGTATATGTAACATTAAGACTGGAAGCAAAAAGGCTGACAGTCTCCCAACATTATTATGTAATAAGGGACTGAAATAAAGTGTCTGCCCCTCTTGAGGTTTCTGTGTCCTTACTTCTGTGCTGTCTACACTGGATCACTCTTGCTGACCCGGGACTCCTGGACACCTCGAACCTGTTCAGTTCCACACCGTCCCTGTCAACGCCAACCCTGAGATTGTAGCCTGAGATTATAGCCTCTTTAGTCTCCAAATGCTAACAATGGGTTAACAAAAAAATAGACTTTTAATGAAACAATGTACATAAAATTGATTTGGATATTAAAAGAGTCCTTGATAGGGAAACACTAGAGAATGACTTTAGAATGCAAACTTGTTTGACATTTCTCTATCAAATAAAAATCCTAACAAAGTACTGTTTAATTAGAATTTTGCTTGAATCTTCATTAAAATATAAGATTAATTTTTTAAAATATATCCAAAAATATCAGCAGAATGTTTTCTATTGCATTTTTCCTCCTGGCCGCTTACTCATCTTATGTTTCTAGTGTCCAGCACTTTTATACCCCATCAAGTTAAGTATAAGAGGAAAAATACAAAGTGATCAATGATCATAGTAGTAAATTAAACTTTATTTCCTTCAATTTTCCCTCTGAGTTCCACAGTCCTTTCCTTTAGCTCATACTTCTAGCCTTAGATTTGAACACAAGGAACCTACTCTGAACCCTGAAGATAGAGACACCACCATCCCCCACTTCCTCATGAACATAAACATAACCGGCACTCACCTCGTTGGAAGATAGAGACCAGTACTAAAGCTGCCAAATATCTGTACCTGAAAGAAAGAATGACTGTTAAGAGTAGGTGACAATTCAATCATCCTTCCATCACTTCTCACTGAAAAAAAGGCCTCACTCCTACTCCTGGGTAAAATTAAAACTTCTCTGAACATTGGGGGACATGAAAACAACTCAAGGAAATCTACTTAATCTTTAAATTAAAGACCTGTCCCAAAAAGGAATTTTTGAAAGCTCAAAATTATGAGGCAAAACAATTATTGGCCTCACCCACACCTGCCAAAGCCAAGGACTTTTTGGAACTTGGTTCAAACCTTCCAACAATTTTCAAACTCACAGCTAGGACACAGAGGCAGGAGGACCATTCCACGGCACTTGGAGGTTTAAAGCCAAGGATGTGGTACATCACTTTAAAAGAGGAGGGGAATCGAGTTGCAGCCTGGCTCATGGGGAGCTCACGCGCCCTTCAGTAGCCCAGCTCATCTCTATCACTGGTGGGTCGTCAGTAACGGGCACTGGTCACCAGTAGAGAAGGCTGATCAATTAGGACAGGAGACTGTGGGTGGGCCATCATATCTTGGTCCAAGGACATGTTCATGCTGTCCGCGCCAAGCATTAGAAATGCCAGTGGCCCTCACCTCAATGGACCCTTGTTCATTTACTATTAAAGTGGTGTGTGAGGAAATACTTCCAATTTTCACAAAAGTTAACTTATGCCAGGATGAGTGGTTGGGCAGGGGGAGAAGGGGTAAAATTTCTAACCTTAAGGTAAATTTAAAAGAAAAATAATCATACCATTCCAAAAAACCTTCTGTTAAACCAGTGGTCCTCACACTTGAATGCGTCAGGACCACATGCAGGAAGGGCGTGTTAAACACAAACACCCCCCCCCGCCCCCCGCCCCCCGCCCCCCCCCCCCCGGCCAAAAAGTTGTCTGACTCAACAGGCGCATTTCTAACAAGCTTCCAGGTGTTGTGCTGCTGCCTGGTCCAGGACCACACCTGGAAAATCTCTGCCTTGGGCCAATAAGAGAGACGCAGGTCTGCATACACACATTACAATCTCAGGTGCTCATGTTTACTTGTGAGGACAAAGAAGTACAAAGACTATACTCACATCAGCTGTTGGCCAAAGATCTTTAACCACAGTTTCGATCCGCTTCACCACCTCTCTTCTCATGGCTGCTTCTTCAGGGCAAGGGGACATGAAGTTATAAAAGTCAATTATTTCCTCATGAAGTCTAGTGGACAAAAGAGAAAACATACTAGAGTTACAATTAAACTTAACCACACTTTCCACCCTTCCTTTAGATCAGCATAACACTACAATATATTTCTGGCACCTACAATCCAGTTTCTCTTCTCCTCTAAAGGTACGTAACGAATACTCTGTGATGGACCAATTAATTAAACAGTTGTTTAGCACCACAGAGTAACATGAGTGAATTTTGTTAATACCACATACCAAAACTTTTGATTGGCATTTTAAGACTTATCCAAAAGAATCATTTCAGTGACCTTACATTAAGAAACAAAGAATTCCACCCATGAAAAGATGGAAGACAACGCCAGTTGATGTGTCACAGTAAAACACATCACCTCAGGTATGCACCCCAACTCATGTGCTCTGAGCCATGGGCACCTTTGGTGCCCATGCTAAGCATGGGTGGTCTGAGACTGGCGAGGGACAAGGACATGCGAGACAAGGAAAACGTGCGCTCAACAAGCCTGAGAGTTGTCTAAGCTGTCAGGTTCTGCCCCCCAACCCACTGACAATGTGCTGGGTCTAGTGCCCAGTGCCTCCCAACCATGTTAGACAGAAACATTGTCCCTGGAGGCACAAAATCCCCACTTAACTCAAGTGTTCTCTCCTCACAACTCAGACACAAGGATGTCAACAACCAAATGAGTGTGGGTAGGTATGGCCCTCCCTTCCTTTCCTAACAAAAGTCTTCAGCAGAGAAGAGTGAGCTCCAAAGGCCACCTTACAATTACACCTCACCTCTGCCTCAAAAGTTACTTCTGTCACTGTCAGCCCCATGGGCAGAAAGCCAGTCCTGTGGGGGTGGCAACAACTTGCGGAGTTAAGTTTCAGGGCCAATGACCTGTTCTGCAGAGTCCTTCTGGAGGAAGGAAAGATGGTCATCCTCCATTCCTTTCAGAGATTAAAGGGGAGGAGAATGAGCCAACCCTAGAAATTATAACAAATCAAATTCATCTGCTTCCAGCTTCATTTAGAAAAGCAAATAAAAGACAAAACAAAATTAGCTCAATAATAATATTATTATAATAATGCTAGCTCAAAAGATAGCAAAATGGTCTATATAACAGCAGGCAATACATCTTAACAATACTTCTTTAACATCAAGTTACAAGGGTAAGGAGCATCATATTATCTTACATATTATGTTATATGGGGCTCTATGTTTAAGTCTGACTTCAATTTTCTTCCCTGAAATACTGCCTCCCCACCCCCCAAAATTCATCTGGAGTGACCATTCCTGACACTCTCAGTAGGCCTGAAGGCCACTCGAGGCCACTAAAGCACAGAGGGGACTGCAGCCAGAAATAAACCTTCAACACTCTGTTCACCTGCAATCTGGGGCCATCACTAGAACCTAATTTTGTTCACCATGTTTAACTTAAAAAAAGAAAGAAAGAAAGAAAGAAAAGAAAAGAAACCCTCACCCAAGCACACTGACAATTTAGCCAGCCAGGATCCAGTTTTTTAGTAAATCCAGAAAAGTAGACAGTCACACAACACTAAATGCAGTATGTTTTCCAGAATATCAAACTCCAAGATATTGAGGGTAAACCTTCTATTGCTTCAACAATGTACACTAAATATTTAACCATATCTCTGCCAGCAGCTCAAAAGACATGTTAAAGTCTGAGGTGTTACCTAAAATTCCAAACCATTGGGAAATGTTAGTAGGACTAGATGTGTCTGGTTAGCAGATTAACGCCCACACCAGCGAAGAGCCACACGTGACTCCTCCCGTTAGCAGAACTGGCTGTAGAGAGCAGTCTGGGCGGAGCACTGGGCTCTGCGTGAGAACAATCTGTGCTACAGGCCCAGCTGTCACCCTGGGTGAGAAGTTAGTGCACCTGAAGCACTAAGGGCATGTGCTCTCCTGCCCCTCTTAGTTCTGTTCTGATAACAACAGAAGTAAAGAAATTCAGAGACAAAAATTAAGATATGGGCCTAAAATAATTACACAACTGGCTCAAAGTCATGGAAGAAGAATACAAAGCCAGTGTGCTAAAATTCTCTCCACGTCCCACAAATGTAATACATTAAATCATCTTGTCAACAGGGCATTCCAATTTGCCAAATGTCACTGAAGGTCTGCATTTGCAGAGGAGAACATCCTGTCAATGTTCTCCTAGGTTGTCCACATCTGAAATAACAACATAGTACAGGCCCTCCTCAGCTTCCCAGGACACTGAAGGTACCAGGGCTGGAAAGGCGTAAAGGGAACCCAAGCTGCCAGTCTGCACAGACACTACTCGATCTGTGTAACAGTGTTAAGTTTTCTCCCAAGTCTGTTGACTGGCTTATGATATAAAAGGGATCATCTACCACCATCCCCCCGATATTTTAAGAGAAATTAATGATGGGTCTCAGCATGCCCACATTCCCAGAGCAGGTAGGTGCCAAGTGGGACACACAGGCCTCCCAATGTCAGTGGCGTGTTCGACCAGTAATATATACTGATAATATACCTACCTGAAATATGTATTAACATGGATCTCAAAGCTAGCAACTGCTCTAACAAACATTACATGTAAGAGTATTTTGGCTTTGCCTTCTGGAAATGGAAGCGATACTGCTGGGGAACTGGCTAGACTAGGAGGCTCTGGCTGGCCAACGCCCGCTGGCTCTACCTTGAGGCAAGCTGGGGCCTTGAAAGCACTGCATGACTCCTGGAACCACCAGAGGACTGTGTGGCTCTGAATTGTGATGATGCGTTCAGCACAGAAAGACAAAGGAAGGTCTAACAGCCATCATGACCTCTGGGCAGACTTGAAAAGCTACCACTGCTGCCGCCTCCTCCTGCTGGGTCCCAGGTGGAACCCTCAAAGGAGAAAGGAACCACCAAGGGTGAGAGGTAGGGGGATCAAGCAGTGAGGGAGGACTGCTGTTCAGCCCCAGAACTGTAGAACCAGAGCAATGAACAGAAGCCGCATGACAGGGACCGCAGTGCCCTCTTCCCGGCCAACCCCAGCACTCCCTCTTCCCCGCAACCCTGCCCGCACCACATTCTTCAGGGCCAAGAAGTAGTAATGGACCAGAGTCTGTTCCACTCACAGAAGGCAACCTACCAACGTCTAGGACAAAAAAGGCTCACCTTGCTCACTGCCTGATCTTCAGCACAAGAACAGTGTTTGCTCACAGGAAGCTTTCAGTAAATATGTGTGGAATGAATCAAATCAAGTTTTGATAAACATTTTGCTATGACCTTGTCATTTAAAATCTACATTCCCTACAAAATGACATCAAAAAATTAACATTTCAAGAAATAATAGTTTACCCCTGTAGTGGCTAACTTGATTTGTTAGGAGAACATACTTAAATGGTCAACTGTCCTTTCAGAAATATATACAGAGCTAAATAAAACAGTTTGGAATACTTTATTCAATACTAACATTACAAGTAGTTTCCATCACTTTAAGAAATTGCATACTTGGGTTAGAACAATACATTTTCACAATTGGGTGCTACCAGCCACATGTCCAGCCTCCAGCATCAGATACAACACTGGTTATTCAATTCCCATGTTGAATATATCCATACACTCAACTTTCTAGTTTCATAGAATTAGGTCCATAAAAAGTTTTGATAATTTCTCCTCGAAAAAAAAATAAGGAAGTTTACTCTTCTCACCTATCAAAATCTGAAATGAATTTCACAGCTGACAAGATGTCTACATAAAAACTACACTAAGTCACCTTACCCACAGACAACTTAGTCGTTATCTCTTACAGCTCAGTATCGGCCCACTAGGATTCAGTCTCCAAATCTCCCAAGAAGCTTTCTAGGCTGTGAGCATCATAGAAAAATCTCTAAAATGAATCATAGAGATGGTATCTCAACACCCACAAGAAAACATGACCACCTATCAGAAGGCCCTGGGACACCGTTCCCACCCCTACTTCAGCGGCAGAGGCTGCTGACTGCCCACCTGCTGTGCTAGGGGGCCACATGGACCACCCTCTCCAGCAGCTCCAGTTAGAAGATAAGAGGAGACTTTCTCAGAAGGTTTCTTAAGGGGGTAGTTCCCACAGCACTTTTGCTTTCCCCTTCCTCAGTCCTAGAGCGCTGACCTGTGGCTGGGCTCCAGAACCACAACCCCCATGCGGCTCTGCAAACAGCAGCCAGGTATGCAGCCAGAAGGCAGGTCAAATCCCAATGGAATCACATCACCATTACTCCATTACTTTTGTTCTTTGTAGCCAAAACCCTCACAGAGTTGCTTAAAAACAACAAAGTGAGATTCCCACCTTGTTCTACATTTGAAAATGTTACAGACACACAGTTAAAAATTTTTACCCGCAAAAAAATAAAAAATCAGAAGAAAATAACAGGGATACCTCAAACTTTAGCTACCTCAAACTTCAAGGAGGGCTTTCCGGACTCCAATTCAAAAACAACAATCACAATGCAAAAACTATGATAGACTCAAACAATTACAAAGAAATTCTATCAGAAAACATGCTGAGTGTAAACAAACTTAAAAGCAAACGACATCTAGACATGGCAAAAATAGGAAGGATCTGAGTCTGCAGAAAGAACAGTCCTCTCACGAAGTACATGGGGACCTGGACCTGGTGCACTCTAGAAGTTGGCAATTTATCCATCTCTGAGCCTGTGCAATTCCACTTCTGGAAACCTGTGCTACAAAACACTGAAACACACACAAGAATCTGTAAGGCATGCTCACTGCAGGGCTGTTGGTCATAAGGACATTCCCACATGAGGAGATGCTGTCCACTCATTAAGAACAAGAAAGATGTGTGCACTGATATGGAACCATCTCATGACAGACTCTATGTAAAGACAAAAGAAAGGCATGGCCCCATTTACAGATGAATGTTCAGCCACATAAGCATGTGAACACACCAAAGGTCTAAAAGACCACATGCCAACAGGGCCTCCTACCCAGGAGACTGGGATGACCTGGGCAAGAACATCGACTTTCTATTCCAGGTACCTTTGTACTGCTTGAGTTGTTTTTAC